AGTGTAGCTCTATAGTGTAGCTCTATAGTGTAGCTCTATAGTGTAAGCTCTATAGTGTAGCTCTATAGTGTAGCTCTATAGTGTAAGCTCTATAGTGTAGCTCTATAGTGTGGCTCTATAGTGTAAGCTCTATAGTGTAAGCTCTATAGTGTAGCTCTATAGTGTAGCTCTATAGTGTAGCTCTATAGTGTAGCTCTATAGTGTAGCTCTATAGTGTAGCTCTATAGTGTAGCTTTATATTGTAGCTCTATAGTGTAGCTCTATAGTGTAGCTCTATACTGTAGCTCTATAGTGTAGCTCTATAGTGTAGCTCTATAGTGTAGCTCTATAGTGTAGCTCTATAGTGTAGCTCTATAGTATAGATTGATGAAAAGTCTTTAGTTTGTTATTTATTATTTTATCAAAATTGTGTCCTTGCAGTTATTGTAACAAGTATCGGCGCCATTCCAATGGCTTTTGTTGTTGCAGACTTGGGCGGCCTCTTACAGGTTAGTTACACATCAGTGTTATCATTTATGTAATGTGACTGTTTGATCAGCTGGTGTGTCGTGCAAAAATGTTATTGCAAGATTTCGATGTAACAGAATAAAAATTAGTATATAAATTGTTTTCCTTAATTTCCTTTTTTTTTTTTTTTAAATAAAAAACCTATACTACTTTCCTCGGAAGTGGTTTTTCTATGAGAAACCGCAAAGCTAAATTATTTCAAATTTTTTTATAATTTTAATAAAAATTAGTATATAAATTGTTTTCCTTAATTTCCTTTTTTTTTTTTTTTTAAATAGAAAACCTATACTACTTTGCTCGGAAGTGGCTTTTCTATGAGAAACCGCAAAGCTAAATTATTTCAAATTTTTTTATAATTTGAATCAGAACTTCAGTTTCTTTTTTTTAATATTTTAATTTTTTAAGGGGGTATTTTTTTTAAATATTTTTTTTTTTTTATGTGCAGGTATTTTACACACTCTGTGGGCTTTTCTGTGGTCCGTTCTTGGGTCTATTTGTAGCAGGTATCTTCTTTCCGTGGACCAACAGCAAGGTGAGCGGTTACTTAGACTGCTCACAATTTTTAGTTGCAAAGAACTTTGCGATTTAGCGAAGTCATGGAAATGATTTTTTTTTTTAGTTCATCGTTTTTTCCAGTTATTATTTTGAATGGTCATCAAAGTTCTGTAACTCTAGAATATGTTTCGTAAGGATGAGTCGTAGAACTTTGAAAAACAACAACGTTAACTTGACATCTCAATGTGCTTCGCGTCATTCTCTTGACATCCCACTGTGCTTCACGTCATTCTCTTGACATCCCAATGTGCTTCACGTCATTCTCTTGACATCCCAATGTGCTTCACGTCATTCTCTTGACATCTCAACGTGCTTCATGTCATGCACTTGAAATTTTAGTGTGCTTCACACAATTCACTAGGCATCTCAATGTGCTTCACACCATTCAATTGACATCTCAATGTGATTCACACCATTCACTTGACATCTCAAAGTGATTCACATCATTCGCTTGACATCTCAATATCATAGTGCATCACACCATTCACTTGACATCTAAATTTGATTCACATTATTCACTTGACATCTCAAAGTGCTTCACACCTTTCACTTGACATCTCAATGCGATTCACACCATTCACTTGAGATCTCAAAGTGCTTCACATCATTCGCTTGACATCTCAAAGTGCTTCACACCATTCACTTGACATCTAAATTTGATTCACACCATTCACTTGACACCTCAAAGTGTGTCACATCATTCACTTGACATCTCTATGTGATTCACACAATTTACTTGACATCTCAATGTGATTCACTCCATTCACTTGACATCTCAAATTGCTTCACACCATTCACTTGACATCTCTAAGTGCTTCACACTATTCACTTGACATCACAATGTGATTACACAATTCACTTGACATCTCAATGTGATTCACACCATTCACTTGACATCACAATGTGATCACACAATTCACTTGACATCACAATGTGATTCACACAATTCACTTGACATCTCAATGTGATTCACACGATTCACTTGACATCACAATGTGATTCACACCATTCACTTGACATCTCAATGTGATTCACACCATTCACTTGACATCTCAATGTGATTCACACCATTCACTTGACATCTCAATGTGATTCACACCATTCACTTGACATCTCAATGTGCTTCACACCATTCACCTGACACCTCAATGTGCTTCACACCATTCACCTGACACCTCAATGTGCTTACAGGGAGCTTTATGTGGCTGTTTGGTTTCATTTATACTCACCTGTTGGATCGGACTTGGTGGGTTGATAAACAAGGTGACAACTGCAATGAAATCACCTGTCGGCAGCCTGGCCTGCTACAGCAGCACAAGTGAGAACAGGACGTGGGACAACACCACAAATGCTAGGGCAAAAGTTGATGAAGTTGAAAGGTAGTTTATTTTCCCTGTCTGTGATAACATCAGTATCTGCTGTTATAAGTTAGCAACTTTAGAACCTTTGCTTTGCTTTTACTTTCCTGTCTTAAAAAAATCAAGGACCCCCCCCCTCCCCCGCCCACACACACATTTCTATTAAAACAAGTAAATCAGACAACCCCTCCCTTTGCCAAAACAAGTAAATCAGACAACCCATCCCTTTGCCAAAACAAGTAAATCAGACAACCCCTCCCTTTGCCAAAACAAGTAAATCAGACAACCCTTCCCTTTGCCAAAACAAGTAAATCAGACAACCCCTCCCTTTGCCAAAACAAGTAAATCAGACAACCCCTCCCTTTGCCAAAACAAGTAAATCAGACAACCCATCCCTTTGCCAAAACAAGTAAATCAGACAACCCCTCCCTTTGCCAAAACAAGTAAATCAGACAACCCATCCCTTTGCCAAAACAAGTAAATCAGACAAACCTCTCATCTACCAAAACGTGTAGGCGGTTGTAAGTCAATAATGACATATAAGTTATAAGGTAGCAATAATGTTATTCAGCACCTTCATCTACGAGATTTTTTAAAAGAAAGGCCCATCTACACTAATTTTCCAAAGCATAACAATATCAACAATATCAACAATATCAACAATATCAATAATATTAATAATATCAATAATATCAACAATATCAACAATATCAACAATATCAATAATATCAATATCAATAATATCAATAATATCAATAATATCAATAATATCAATAATATCAACAATATCAACAATATCAATAATATCAATAATATCAACAATATCAACAATATCAATAATATCAATAATATCAATAATATCAATGATATCAACAATATCAACAATATCAATAATATCAATAATATCAATAGTATCAACAATATCATGTTTTATTTTAAGCCAAATCTCTTACCCCACTCCCCTTCTTTTTTTTTTTTTTTTTTTTTTTTTTTTGTTAGTTACGATGGAGTTGTGTCAACCTCTACACTATCCTATTTGTACCTAACGCCCGTGGGGGCTGGTACAACAGTCTTAGTTGGCCTCGCCGTGTCCCTCATCACAGGTAAATACCATACTGATATTTTAGGCAGCGTAACTAACAAGGTATTATCACACTGAACAAATGCACTTGGTATATCACACTTCCTAAATTCTGTTTCATCCGGGGTACACTATGCATACTAAATTGCATTTGATCTTACTTTAAACCTGCTCCAAATTTCATGGTTTTAAATCTCCACGCTTATGGCCTCATTTCATTAAACTGTTATTGCCATTTTTTTTGTTTTAGCTCACTGGTATATAAATGAAATACTTAAAAGAATATTGCTTTTTACCAAAATTTGAATTATTGCTCATTTTTGAATTTTTGCTGTCACATATTTTATTTCAAGGTTATGTCCAACCTTTCAATATTGCTTGTATTTCCAGGTTATGTCCGACCTACCAGCCTTGACTCTAAACTCATCTGTCCGATCTTTGATGTGGTCTTGCCATTTTTACCCGAATGTGTGTTACGTCCCCTGAGATGTGGTATCAATCGTCAACGCAGCAGTCAGTTACAGGCCCATCGGATTACAGTTGACCAGGAGACGAGTCCTCACATCAACTACAGCTTTGAGCCAGATTTAAACTGCCCAGAGCCCAACGGGTACGTCCATCCCATTGCTGAGCACAGAGATCACGTCTGGTGGACTCGGGCAGAACACCACATCGGCAGCACAGACAATGAATCTCACTGGACAAGCGGTCCAATCGTCAGCAGGCTTTGACAGTCAGAAATAATGATATAGAGATAATTGGTGTGATTATATCAGTGTCAGAATCTGAACAATCATCCGTATAAAAATGTTTCCGTCATTAGATCTGAATGTCAGAGCCTGCAGAAATAACATGAAATATTAGGGTTCAAGTTTATATAAGCCCTTTCCAAAAGCAGTCGGTATGAAATCACACAGTACATCCCTTTTTTTTTTTTTAAAACTTTTTGAGCAATTGATTACCCTAATAGAGTTCATGGGGTAATTTGATACATCAGGCTGAATCCCAATAATTTATTTTGAAATTATGAACAGTGGTACTGGTGACATGATTGTGCCAAGCAATATGCGACACAGAAGTAGGACACAAGGAAAATGAGTTGAACTTAGCAGTAGGGTGGGTACACAAGCACACAACTTGAGACCTAAGTTGTCTCAACCTGTGTCCATGAGAAAACAAGTTTGTGAAGCAGAGAGCATTTGTGACATTCCCAAAATGAGACCTTTGAGTTTAAGCTGCTCATTGGTTGCCCCCCTTGTGTGCTCATTTGTCCCCTTGTGTATCTGAAATTCAGTGAGAGTTGTTTTTGCAATGCAATGTGTAAATTCTCCGTCAAAATACATAGACTTTGTGTTTTCATAGTACATTATCTGTGTGTGTTTATTTGTAGAGGTGTGTTTCTAGATACAAAACAGGACAAATACATCATCAAACATAAAACATGACAGTTTGAAGGTAGACAGTTTCGAGATAACACAATGCAGTGGTCAAATAAAATAGTCCAGAGCAGTTTTTTTTTATTAAAAAAGTGCTGTTTATTAAAATTGTGAATGAATTCACAAGGAATAACATGTAACCAATTTAAAAATAGGAACTAAGATAACTAGGTCATACATCATACAATGTCATCAGTAACTATGTCAGTGTCATCAGTAACTATGTCATACAGTGCCATCAGTAGCTAGGTCATACAGTGTCATCAGTAACTAGGTCATACAGTGTCATCAGTAAGGTCTGTCTGATATAAATGTTCCTGTACACAAACCAGCATTTATACTATTACTGTTCCAGAACAAACAAAATAAATTAATGCAGGCTTCTGGCTTTGAACAAAGTTGATTAGCGTACACCATGCCTAAAGTTTTGGAGATTTTTTTAAAACGTATCTCCAGTAAAAAGAAAAAAATGCAGAGAAATGAAAAAAATGCTGTGCTAAAGGTTGGCCAATAAAACCTTGACTGCTGCTTGGCCAGATAATTAGGCAATCTTCAAGCCTTGGATACTCTTCTCCAGGGACTGAAAATGGAAATGAAAGAAAACCAAATAAGTATCACAAATTCATAGATGGTTTACTTTGGTAAATATACTTTATATACTTTCTGTAAGCTGCTAGCTCAGAAAAAAACAGCATCCAATGTAAGTTGAATTTATCATCTCTGAAATCAGAAGAGCATCTTGGCATTCAATAAATCACCATAATTTTGTGTCACACATCATTGTAAAAAAAAATAATAATATGACAAGTCTCATTTGATATGACTAAATGAGCAGTTACATGATGTGGCTGAACAGACATGACCTACTTTGAGATGACAAAATTAGCAGTTACATGATGTGGCTAAACAGACATGACCTACTTTGAGAGGACACAATGAGCAGTTACATGATGTGGCTGAACAGACATTACCTACTTTGAGACCACACAATGAGCAGTTACATGATGTGGCTGAACAGACATGACCTACTTTGAGATCCCATATGATGAGCTTCCCATCAACACCTGATGTTGCAATCTTGTTGGCGCTGGCTTTGGTTCCAGTATGAATTGACACTTGCCTAAAAAGCCACAAAATCAGGTCATGGGAGTTTTATTTATATTGATTTTACACAACAGTCTTATTATTTAATGATCTGCAAAGAGCTGTAAAATAACATCTCATTGAATCCACCCACACACATAAACACACACACACAGAAATCTCCAAGTGACAACTAAAAGGAAATATGAAAGCTATTTTATGGCCATGCTACGCAAAGTGGTGGTCTATAAGCAACCAGAAGGAATGATCACACAGCAATTTTGATTTGCATTGAAGATAAACAGTTGTTTTTTGTTTTTTTAAAGCAGGTCAAAAGCTCTAAAGGAGTGAAATTTGTGCTTATGTTTTGCTAAAAACAGTAAAAAAAAATATTGTGTAAAATTATTCCCAGGGTGGCTGAAAGGGTCTGGCTGGGTTATAATGAAGGCTTACATTATAGTGTTCTGGTGCTGAGTTCTCAGTTCAGTGGAAGTATCTGCAGCAGTTGCCTTCTTGTCCAGGTTTTTGAAACGATTCATGGCACTTTTTAAAAAAAAAAATTGAAAAAATATTTTAAAATTTCCTAATGTTAGAATAATATTATCCCATAAGTATGATCCAATGTTAATTATTTTATCTTTCTAAGTGACATTTACTTTGATTCAGTTAAAAAAAATTTTTTTTACAATGAATGAAAATGTAGTTTATATATATCAGCTAAACCAAAAATTAAAGGGACATTTTGTACATTCTGTTTCATTTGGATCTTAATGTCCCAGTCATCTTTTATACAAAATATAATCATCCCTAATAAATAATTCAAATAAAGTAAAGTGTGCAAAGGACTAGACATGATGGTAATTAGGGTAATGTTTCATCTTTATACTCCACTGTTGGGAAACCAAGCTTCAAACCAATTTCTCTTGACAAGCATCACTATGTCAACTACCTGGAGCAAACCACTGTTAGATGTTCTAATCACATACCATAACTTAAGGGTTAATCAATTCGTCACAAATAATTTAACTCTTTGTTATCCATGCATAATTATTATTGCAAACACGCTATTACATCGTACATTGTGAACAACAGATTTGTGGACACATATGAGTCCAGCAGCTGCACTGGCATGTAATCTGTCTCACAACCCGGAAGTAGCAGTTTAGAAATTCTATAGGGTCATCTCTCCAAATAGGGACAGATAGCCAGGTGTAAGGACGCCATCTCCAAATAGGGACAGATAGCCAGGTGTAAGGACGCCATCTCCAAATAGGGACAGAAGGCCAGGTGTAAGGACGCCATCTCCAAATAGGGACAGAAGGCCAGGTGTAAGGACGCCATCTCCAAATAGGGACAGAAGGCCAGGTGTAAGGACGCCATCTCCAAATAGGGACAGATGGCCAGGTGTAAGGACTTCAAGTCAGGCAGATTTTCTTGGGGAGGACATGATTATGAGAAAGATCCTAGTAAAAAAACAACAAACATTTTTGAGGAAACATCCCATCCTCTTCATCACAGATGCCAAAGATCAGCTCGGTCGGGAGGAATTCTTTCCATCAAAGTTAGGACCGAAAGATTTTAAAAAATCATTGGTTCCACAGTCTGTCAGAAATTACCAGAGTGCTCCCGCAACCGTTACAAAATCTAATTAATTAGTAATAAATTCATTTTATGTCACTGAGGGAGTGAACTTTTATTGTCCATGACGGACAATTTTTATGCTTGAGAAATACTTCAGGTTGTCTTTGTGTTTAAATTGTTCTAGTTTTAAAATGATGTCGCGGTAAGAATATTTATTGGTCTTGGTGCTGAAAATGAATGTAATTAAAACTTTTCCATTTATTTGGATGTATATGAATCTTATTGTATCTTGTCTCAGCATTGAAGTCATAAAATAGACGTGCTCTTGAAGTGGGATTAAACCTTATCTGTGTGAAGTGGGATTAAACCTTATCTGTTCACTGTGTCCCCACCACAAAATTAAAGACACATGTCAAGATGCAAAGAACAGTCAAGTATTCCAGACAAACAACGGGTGACAAGATGTAGATTTACAAGATGAAAGCCCTTTCATTATTATCATCGTTATCATCAACTAACTTTGGAGATTGTATTCTCCTAAATGAGGTCAGAATGGATAATGCTTGATAGTAATAGCTTCTCCTATTTTTTAGAATTGCATCTAATTCCATGCTCAAAAATGCACATAGTACACATTTTGGATGATTATTGATAAGCAAATATAAGTTACATTCACTAAATCTAATACAATTAATTTGTTAAGAGATGCACTTCAAAATTTGCCATTCTTTTTAAAGCAATCTTTTAATTGTTACAACAGTTTTCACCATATTTTTGTAAGACATTCACTACAGTGAATTAAAAGCCAAATGAGCGCCATGACAAAATGTACAGTTCCCACTAATATCACATCTACAACTGTGTTAAAGGCTGACAATTGCTCTGAGAACATCCTCAGAGATTTCCATGCAAGATTTTATCAGGTATCAGGACAAACGTTCCTGTTACAACGTTCAATTCAAAAACGTCAGTTTCATTTTTTCTTATCCACCCCATGCCAAACGCCAGGAATCAAAACGAAATGCACAAGTGATCCATGCCTCCCAACCTGACAATTAAGAAGTGTGTTTCACTCTCTTCATTTTCTCCATCGCCATCCATAGAGGACTGGTTGTAATCTACAACATTGGGTGGTCTGAATCTAAGGACAACACTGGTAGCTGAACGATTCCACTGACATAAACTTTCAAAACAGACATGAACTTTCACCACATACATAATAATACACAATATTAATACACAATACACAGTAATATACACAATTAAAACGAGTTTTTTTTTTGTTTTTAAATCATAGAATACACATTCAAAAGCAAAAATTTAATAGGGGTAGAGCTGCAATGCATTCGGAGAAAATAACGATTCCACTGACATAAACTTTCAAAACAGACATGAACTTTCACCACATACATAATAATACACAATATTAATACACAATACACAGTAATATACACAATTAAAACGAGTTTTTTTTTTTTTTTAAATCATAGAATACACATTCAAAAGCAAAAATTTAATAGGGGTAGAGCTGCAATGCATTCGGAGAAAATAAGAGCTGCAATGTATTAAGAAAAATAAATATAATTAAATTAATTAATTAATAGACATTGATGTCTGGTCCCCAGGTAAATATCTTTAATTCAAATGTCTGAACTTAAAAAATATATATATATATATATATATATATATATATATATATATATATATATATAAGTTGATGTAAAGATGAAAGCCTTGACAGTGCAGTTTGCACGACTTAACTTGTTGATTCCTTATAAATGATAAAACAACAAACCATACCTCAGTTGTCCAGACTCCTTTTCCTGGGACTGGTCAAGCTGTCCCACCAGGCTGACTTTTCCCCCAGTGTGAGAGAACAGCATAGGATTGCAGTCATAGCCCTGTCAGCCAGAAATAAATGATAGGTTAGCAATCAGTCAAATAACAAGTTTACATCAGACAAATATCAAATTTACATCGGTCAAATAACAAGTTTACATCAGTCAAATAAGTTTACATCAGTCAAATAACAAGTTTACATCAGTCAAATAACAAGTTTACACCATCCAGGTCAGGTGAACACCGTCTGGACGAGAGAGTCTGTTTACTGTGAGTGCTAATGGAGCTCTGTACTGATTTAAAAGCTAAATTCTATCCTGAGATGGTCAATCCTTCTATTTCTATATATAAAATTACTTGAACTTGGATTAAAAAAAATCACACGTTTACTACTTACAGCTGCAACAAGGCTATTTTCAGTTATCCAGGTAATGCCCATGAAGGGGAGGAAACTCTCTCTAATTACAGTGAGTCTGAAAAGGGTCATCATTCAAATTTTAAAAAAAAAAAGCTTTTTTTTTTTTTTTAAATGACTGAGATAGAGTGTTTTTGTTAAATTATATGGCATTACTTTTATTTTGAGCAATTTAATTTAAGGAGTTTCATTGATTTTTAAATAAAAACAAGACTCAAAATAAAAGAGGTTAAAAAAGTAGTTTGGGCCTGCAATCCGAGTCTGGTCTCCAACCTGTGGCAGGATTTAATGAGAAATCAAACTAAGTCTGATGTGACATGAAAGGGGTAAACCACAACTAAATTAAGAATAATTTTTCACTGCCCACCCACCCGAGATAACGTATGATTGGACGTGCACATTAGTGGAACTTACTGTTAGAGCTATAGTTAGAATATTTTTTTTTAAAAACTTACTCATTTCCTTTAGTGGCATCCCCAACAGACACACTGGAGTCATGTCCCACCCAGGCCACTTTGTCACCACTGGGAGAGAAAGATACAGAGTGCACCCAGCCTCCTGTAAGAGCAGACTGATTTAATGGTGTGGTAAAATTATGTTTTTTTTTGTATCAAAGGGGGTTTGAAATATAAAGTGTAGCATTTTGATATGGTGTGCACCCCTAAAGTAATATGCAGCCCTCACTAACATTAGTTTTGCGACAACTGAATTTGATGTCATAAAATACCCTTTCCTGAGTTGGCATAGATGAACTGACCATTTTGCTATCCTAAAAGCACAAAGCATGGAAATTAAAACAAGTTTAAAATTAATCAATTAGTTGGATTATCAATTACAAATTAGGTTTTATAGATTTTTTGTAAGACACTTAAAGATTAATAAATCCCACCATTTCTACCATGTTGCCAACATTAGTAAACAACACCATGTTGCCAATATAAGTAAACAACACCATGTTGCAAACATTAGTGAACAACACCATGTTGTCAACATTAGTGAACAACACCATGTTGGCAACATTAGTGAACAACACCATGTTGTCAACATAACTAAACTAGGAGGTCAGAGTTTTTGCAATCAATATTTACCAAGTCCATTGCTAAATTCAGCCATCAGGGCTCCAAAGGGCATCTTGGTGCCCCATGAGCTGGGACCTGGCTTTTCATCAACTTCTTTCTGATAGGCAGAAAATACCCTAGGGAATCATGAAAGAATTCAGATCTGAGATGCAGTTCATTTTAGGTGATGGCATCTGCGCAGTCACGGCCGATCTCATTGACTATACAAGGCAATGATCTATTCATTACAGACTATTGATTTAGAATCGTATGTTTGGCGGGACAAAGTCAATTGGCCAAAATCAGAGAAGATTGGGGGCTATTTATAGTAACACATCAAGGTATCACACTAATGTCAAGTCAGAGATCAACACTTGCATGAAACATTCATCACCATTACAAAAAAATAAAATATAACAAACACTGAGTGGTTAATTTTTTGTTATAGTCACTAACCTGCATTTGAAGTCAGTAGACCCGGCAGCCAGCAGGACATTGTTTGGATGCCAGTCCAGGCTGAAATTTAACCAAGAACAGCAGATGAGAAGAACAAATGAACACTTATGTGAGGTGACTATAGAGTATCTGTCGGATTATAACAATGTTTTTCATTAATTCAACACTGTTTTTATGTCATTTTTTTACCCCCACATTTGATTAGGAGATCTATTAGAGCAGCCACAGAGTAAGTTTAAAATCTGTTTCAGTAATTCTGTGACATGCTCCATTTTCTTTGGTCTCCTGGGGAGAGGGGGAGAGGGGGCGGGGGAGGAGAGAGAAGAACTGGACAGTAAGTTAATTTTTAGATGAATATATTTTTATGAAAAATCATCAGCATGAAGTTTCCCCTCAGGCCTGTTCACAACAGTGCAGACACAAACCTAAGAAAGTTTACTCACGGGTAATACCAACTTTCTTTAAGGCAGCTGTGCCTCTGAATATTTTTAAACAGAAATTATTTTGTTTTTAAATTTTTAACAAAAAGAAGAAAAAATAAGAACACACACCATGTCACAGTTGAACGAATTGGCTTCTTGATGTGACGACTGACCCACCAATTGTTTTCAACATCATAGTAACAGATAGCAATCAGACGAGAGCCACTGCCCACTGCAAATTTGTTTTCTGAATGGAAAAATATATATATACATGCATCGGTATACTCGCTTATTACAAAATGTAAACATTTCTGAGGCTACCGCTTAAAGTTAAAAGCCACCGGGTACAGAGATTTTTCATTAAACTCAATGTCTTTTGAAAACTCTTTAAAAATATCTACTATTGAAATTGTATTTGAGGGAGTGTTTAATGATTGTTATTTCTTTGCAACTGGGCCTAACATGAGCTCAACTGAGCCTAGCATGAGCTCAACTGGAACTTTCTTTTAATTCACTGCACACGTTATCAAAACTTGATAATCACCTTTGGGTGACCACCTGACAAATGTGGCAGCACGGTTTATGCGGGGAATAACCAGCACCTGCTTCCACTTGCCATTCTCTAGCATCCAGACAAATGCATTACGATCCTACAGGAGAGATTAATTAAGAAGATCATGACAATGTTCATAATCTAATAATAATAATAAAGTTCATTTCAAAAACACGCTTCATCCCGAAAGGCTCGAAGCGCGGTACAAAGTCAACAAAAAAACATATCTATAATTTACCACATTTAAAACAAACGCAACACTACAAAAACTAATTACAAGCATACAATCTCAAAGTCTTTCAAGCCATTTCAACCCGGAGCAACACCGCCATTATGCTTTAACTGGAAAATAAGGTAGACAATCATCCCAGAAGGTATTTGCGAAATAGATGTGTCTTTAGATCGGTTTTAAAGGACTCCAGAGTCTGGTTGTTTCTAAGATCGACATGGAGACTTCTGAGAAACTTATGGGTCATTCAACAAAAAGTTTTCTTTCAAAATAAAACATGATTACATTTCCTTGGCTTTTTTCCTGCTTATATTTTTATTTTGCAAAAAAAAAAAAATCTTGAGGTATTTATTAACCCCAACATATTATTTGAAGATTTTAATCAAATTTTTTTATGATGACTTTATTTAAAATTCTTTTAAATCAACAGCTTGATCCAAAAGCAACAACAAGCTCCATCACATTTAAAACTATTATACTGGACTACATTTTTTTTATAAAATTTAATAAAGGGCAAAGCCAGTAAAGCAAAATACCTGTTATTGTACAAACATTCATAATTGTAAAAACTAAAAGAATATAGAGAAAAAAAGTCAGTTGTATGAATTTTTTACAAATAGCTACTGTGAGATCTGGAAATAAAGCAAACAACTCGGACTGAAGCAAAAGTGGTGCTATTAGCAGGGATGGCGCTATTTCCAGGTTCAACCCACTGTTGAGAAATCGTTTCAGTGCCAGGGTGAGGTAAGGCATATGCCAGGGACAGCGCTATTTTAAGGCTCACTATTCTGAGCTGTCACTGCCATTTTTAAAACTTCATGGCAGATCTACAATAACTACTTACAGCAGAACATGTAACAATCCTGTTACTGTTAGGGGCCCAGTCAATGCTCGTGACTCTCTGACCGTGCTCACTTAAAGTGTCTGTTTCTTGCCATTTGGTCCCAGACTTTTTGTAAATCTTAACATTGGAATCATTGAGAGAAAGTGCTAGACCTGTTTGCAAATAATGTAGTATAATTAATATAAACATAAATTAAAAGCAAAGTTCCTATAACAAAATATATTTCCTTTCAGCTGAGTACTCTTTTATATCATAATTGTAAGGATACAAGTGGTAAGTATGAATTTGTTTCAGAATACACCTCAAAATAATGAGCATTTTTGCCAAATCTTCTTTGGCAAACAAAGGAAATATGTGGAACAAGGTTTGGCAGACAAAGGATGACAAGCTTTGTCAAGGTTAATAATTTACTCAGTCCTGTTTTTAAATACCTCTGATATACAAGAAAAATTATATTGAAGTATGCACATATGTAGAAAAAATTGTGTGTTATTTCCACCTAGATGTGTGGCTCAATGAATTTTCAAATATTAATATTACCATGACCATGCTTAAAATCTATAAAAGTGTCCCCCCACTAATCATAATTTAAAAGTATCCCTAACCAGAAATTCAACTACAAGTAACAATAACTATTCAATCATCAAATTCAACTTTAGCATCAGGACTACACATGAAGTAAACATGAGAACCTTAATTCAGCTTTTTTAAACAATTGCAGTTAAGTATTCATAATGAAAATGCGTCTTAATTTGCAATACAACTATTTCACTAAAAAAATAAAATAAAATTTTTAAGGCAACTCAAGCTTTATTACCTGTTCTGTCCTTGTCAAATGAGTGACATGTCACAGGAGCTACTCCAAAATCATGAATCTCAGACATCTTTCACTTTAAAAGAAACAAAATTAATCAAAAGTTAAAAGCCCTGATTTAAGAGATCTTAAGTTCTTGTGTTTGGGTTGTGTGTTGGGTTGCCCATTGGTCTAAACTGGGTCAATCTGCCTATCAAAAAGAAGTTGATTATCTAGAAGTTTTACAACACAGAAAACTCCCTTCAAAGAATACTCTGCACACAGAAAATTGCCCACATAGATGATTCCACACGCTTTTATCCTAACATTTCTATGTTGTGTGTTGGCTGCAAGTGCACCAGGGGTGTAAAACTCAAAGAAAAGTATTTTCGCTGACCAAACTACAATGAAAATAAACATATATTTAATAAAGGGGAATAAACCACAATTTTTTACTATTAATGTTTTTAGTAAACCTATCATTTTAATTAAGCTTACAGATCTTTTTGATTTTTCAAAATTTGCACCTCACTAATTAACTATTGACGATTGTTTGCAAAGTTATGAATATAACTCTGAGAAAATACTACAAAATGTATACTTTACTGTTGTTTCCCATGACAATGGATGGAAACTACTCAAAATGTTCTGAGACGATGTCATTATGAGTCATGACCCATATTAGCCTTTCATTACTATAGAAACATTAAAAATATGCCGGAAATACATGATCAAACCTTAAAATAAACTGTAGTGCCCTAAACTCAAATTATAGAAATTAATTAATTTAAATTAAATTTAATTTAAAATTAATTTATTTAACTCAAATAAATAGAATATGTGAACTGGAGGGGATAAGCAACATCTGCCATTGTGAAGGGGGCTTCACACTTTGGTCAAGGACCTAGTCAATATGCAACTCATTCAGTGTTATTAGAGCATAGCTGCTCTCTGACAACACATAGCACAATTACAATGAAAATAGTATATATTTAAATTTCGACTTCATCTAACTGGAAAAGATGCCCTACTTATTGACTAAGGATTTTCCAAATGATTGGATAAATTGTAAAATCCATAGAATTCATTAGGAAAGAAAGAAGGCCAAGACGTCCTTGAAAACTGAAACAGTTTAAAGATTATAAAATTATTTTATAAAAAGATTATTTTAATACATTGATGAAAAAGAAATTACTGTATGACAATTTATTATGCTACAATAAAATTAAAAGAAATAGTAGGGAAATATATCAATTTTACTGAATATCATTCATAATGAACCCTCCACTACTCTAGAGGGTAAGTACCATTGAACGTGGTAGCTTCCTTTAACTCTTTCAACGCGGAACAACGCACACTGCGTTCATCTGATGTTCTCAAAAGTACGGACCAACGCGCTGTGTGTTGTTTCCATATTATGTTTGTTTCTTTGCTATTTCTCAGTTAAACTTTTTAAGAGCTATTTTAAAATAAGACTTTTACATAGAAGAGTGGTATTTCATTGTTTATAAGCGAAACAAAGTTTAGTCTTATAAACTAAAGAATAAATTTTAAATATATTTTAATAAACTCAACCTCTCACTCTTTTTCACTCTTCGAAAAAACAATTAAATTTTTTCTAAAAAAAAAAGAGTTTAAACTGTTAAGGCGTGGATTCCTGTCACCACCATCCGAGGCAAAACATAATCCTAGATAGTCTAAGATAGTCTATAGCCTATATGTTATTTTTTTACGCCCGGATTTTCGCCCTTGGCCTGCAGATTTCCTTGGTCGCTTAAAAATGACTATTCCACCCCTGTCGCCATGATAACTTTACTTTAAGCTATAGATTACACAGTACTCTACGCCTATTTTTTTTTTTTGGTTACCGAAATTCGCGGACTCTGGTCAGTCTACACGAATTTCTTCGAGAACTTGGACAAATAGAGTTAAAACACTGTATTAATCAAAACCAGGAAGCAAGTGAAACAGGAAGTAAAATGAGAACAGGAGTTAATGGGAAAAATACGCCCCTGTTTTTAATTAAAAAGGTGTAAGACTTCATAAAAATAATAATAATTGTACGTTTTATTTGTAAAAAAATCATTTTTTCCTATGATTGAAAGTTACAAATTTTACTCAAATCAGTGTGTGTTATTTCTTATAAATAATTAAATAATTCTAGCCAATCAGAAACGCACAACTAAGCAAAGCTTTTTCAGTAGGGAAATCCCAAACAAAAAAAATAAAAGTTACTAGTTCCCTCACACATGGTTACTTCCCATCCATAAAGTTATGACAGACCTCTCGTGTTAAGAGTCATTATAAATAATCGGTTAAAACGCCGTGGAATCATTTCCTTCTATTCTCAATTAACTTCCATAAATAATAGAATCGATATAATTTGGAACTTTGTGTGAAATGAGTTTGCAGTCAACAAATTTGGGTCTGCTTCTTCTTTTGTTACTTGGGACGCTGGAAGGTTGCTATGCTGAGGAGGAAGAGAGAAGTGATGATGACGATCAAATACACGAAGATCCTCACAGAGACCCATCTCTTTGTGAAGGTTGGTATTGTTTTTTGTTTGTCTTTTTACATTTTTGTGACGTTTTAAACGTAACAATCTGTCTAAAACTAAAGCCGTTAGTAAGTTGGGCTTAGTTTAGTCTTTTACTCTTAACTCTTAACTTAGTAGTAGTAGTAGTCTAAGTCTAAGTCTAAGAAGATAAGTTAAGTACTACTAAGACTAAGGCTTGGCTAGGGTGTGTGCACAACACAAAAAAACGACAAAATAAAAGTTAGTATAAAAACTATAAAATAAAAGCTAGTATAAAAGTAAAAGTTAAAAGTAACCTCACCTAGTCATAGTTAAATCATAGTATTATTGAAGGGTGTGTCCATCATGGTTCATAATATGGCAATGAATTCAAACATCAGTAAATTGTAATTGAAATTGTAACTCCTCACTGACCTAACTGAATTTAATTTTAATAATCAATCACTTCTTCAATTTCAATTGAATAAGTAATGGTTATTGTATGTTTGATCAAACTGTGTAATGATAATTAATTGTATAAATTATTATTTATTATTATAAATAATTCAATCAATAATATTGATATTGCTTTAACTTAAAGTTTAAGGAAAGAAAAAAAAAAGGCTATGGCCCATGCATATACTAATACTATATATACTATACTATGATCACTATGAAGTTGTGATTGAATAATAATAGTATACGTCTGAAGGCATTTGCTGAAACTTTTGAATTTGTATTTTGTCTGTTCTCTATGATGCCACATTTGTTTTCTTTCAGTTTGTAAATATCTTAGCACAGAACTGAAAGGTCGACTTGATGAAACAGGCAAAACACATGAAGTTATTGAAACAGGATATGGTCTTGATACTAAGAAGAAAAGAAAAGAGTATAGGAAATCGTAAGCAGAATAAGGTTTTATAGTATACGTTTTTTTAAAATGGGAACTTCTGCACTTTTGTTGCTTACAAAAAAGAACTGTGTATGAATTTAGAGAATTTAAGGCTGCTTTACCAGTGGAGTCAATACATAATGCTAGACACTGAATTACAAATAAGTGAATTTAAACAACAGCAATGAGTACTGGTACAAGTACATCTGCAGAATCAAATGAAATATGAAATGCCTCAACTTAGTGCTTTGTGTAGTCATATGGTGTAAATGGATAGGTTTCAGGCATAAGGGAAGAAATGAGTCTCATATAGCTATTGCAGTGCCGCCTTTAGGCTTGGGCACACTGGGCAGTTGCCCAGGGCCTTAGGTTTCAAGGGGCTTTATTCTTCTAGGAGCATTAAGTTGCCCATATTGTTAATGATATTGAAATATACTTGGGCAATTTCATTTGCTTTAAAAGTGCTGTGGTAAGCAGGTTTCCAAAGTTTGGGTGAACAAATGTTTTGATTTTCTAATTAATTCCATTCTCTTATATTATTTATAAAACAAAAACATATTTCACGGATTTCAGGAGAGGGAGGGAAATGTGTTAAAGCGACATATTTTTATTATTATTAATTAATCAGAAGAAAATTATAGTCAGAACTGATCTGTGGCTTTTGGAGATTCCCTGCCAATTTTAGGATCTTCCCCCCTGAGTTCAAAGGGAATAGTTCATTATTTTTTCTACAACACACATTGGGCCCCTTAAATATCTGGGGTCCCCGTGCAGCAGCAGGGATTGTTGGGCCCATGTGATGGCTCTGGTTATTGTAGTTGATATTCCAAATAAATATTTCAATTTACTGAATCTTTTAGAAATATCTACTGCTTCAACTTCCCTCAGATAAATCACATATTAATAAATATATGATAACTTGTGAAAATATATCCTATCTTCTTTACATCAATATGTTATTTACATACAATTTTTTATTTATTAAAAAGGCAGATTTAAATTACCAAAATAGATTCATAGACCTTTTCTTACAAAACATTACTCATTACTTTATCCCCCCCCCCCCTTTTTTTTTTTTTTTTTTTTCCACCCTTTTTTTTTTTTTTTTTAATTTTATCTGCAACACTTTTTAAATTTTTGTTAAATGTAAAAAGGTAATATCCTATACTTATAGTTTTTTTTTTTTTTAACATGTTGGCCTATACAATGTTAGTAATCCTTTATTGAAATGAACAACTTCTTTGAGCTGGAATCATTTTGTAAAAATTCATTTAATAATGAAGTAGTGTAAGAACGTAAGTAAATTTGATTTGAAAAGCAAAATAAATGTTTTGAACCAAATAAAAATAAAGGATTTGCGTAACGCAACCTTATCAATCAAGCCTAACTTTCCACTGGCATCTCTTCTGTTGTTAGCTGGTTAAGTGTAGAATGATTCAAAACTAAATTTATGTATTCGCCAAAGTCGCCCCTACATTTTGAATTAAACAAAAACTTTCTGGGTAGTGTCTCACTGAACCCCTACTCCCTCCCCAACCTGCTCAATCTCATGTTTCATTTAAGAGACTTGGTGCCTTTGATTTCTGCCCCCTCGACGATCAAAATGACAGTACTGGCAATTATATATCTACAAAAATATTTTCCTTTACTTAAGAATATATTTATATATAAAATTGGACTTCACTGTATAGATTCCATAGGCATACTAAGCTGCTCCCAAAGCATACCCTCAAGGGTGCCACATCCAGAATGAATTTATTTTATGCAGTCAGAGCTGGCTCTGGTCAACATCATGCTAAATTTTGGCACTGATAGAAGGACCCCACCCCCCCAATGAGATTGTAAGAAACTCTGGTAATAACGACAGGGGCCAACCTAGGCCCCAAATGCTTTTCTAACATTAATTTAATAGACTAGAGAGGAATAAGAGGCCTTGATGCCTTACTTCGCTCAGGGTCCCTGATGCTGTTAATTCAGCCCTGGACTATTATCAAATAAATTTAATTAAATTAGCTCTGCCACACTACTTACTATGTATGTGATGTCACCATACTATCATTGGGAGTCCATCATAAAAAAAAAAGTTAAAAACCCCTTACTCAACATTTTTGTTTACACACAAGGATGAATTCAAAGGAAAAGCAAGTCTCCTATCTCTCCTCTTGATTTTTAAAATACTTATGAATATTTAGAGACATGTATATACTTTGTGTGTTCCCCACCACCACCCAATCATATTTTTCTGAATCTGCCACTAATGTGCTACACAGACGCAATGACTTAAAATAATATTTTTAATAGATTTTATTTTGTCCTCATTTTATTTTTAGAGTTAATGTATGTTACATATAAAATAAGATGGAGATATGTTTTGATTACACTGTACTTATTGATTTTCAGCATATGGATAAACATTCTGATTAAGATAAATATTTTTAAACTAGAACAATTTAAAAACAAGACATTTAAAGTATTTTTCAAGCTCAAAGTCGAATAAAATTACAAGAACATTTCTGATTTTACAAATATTTACATTTGATCAAGGGAACTGCGGTTGATAGAAGCTGTCAATGATCCCCATGTTTGTGAGAAAATACTTGAGTACAACATTCATGCTGAGAGAAAAGGCAGTTTACGCTTTGCTAAAGGCAGGAGTCAGACCATGGAAACATTACACAATTTAGTGTTAGTATTTGATATATTATTTATTAAGATACATTACAAATAAATAATAAATTTATTTGAACGTTTTTGAGGCAAATGAGATTAATTATTGTTGTCTGTTGCATTAAAAAAATGTGTTATTCATACAAATTAATTAATGCAAGCACATTAAAAATGTTATCTTGTTTTTGTAAAATCTCAAATACTGATACAGTTCTTATTTTAGAGCTAAATATTAACTTTAAAATTGTTTTAGTCCATCATAAACTAGGTTAGCAGCATTCACCCTTTTCAATAGTCAATACTTGAATTAAATGTCTTATTTGAATTAAATTTTATAGTCACAAAGGTGTAAATGTGGAACTTGGCATTCCTTATGAGCTGTGGGACACACCGTCAGCTGGAGTTACAGAGATGCAAAGAAAGGTGTGTTTAAAGAGAGCAACTCTCTTTATTCTTTTAATTTCTTTGGCTCTGCTTTAGGCTTTTATAGATTTGCTAAAAAAAAAATGAATATGATCATCCATTAAAACAAGTGCTACTGGTATTGATATTTAAATACCCTGTTTTCACATAGACCAACTTCTGTCAAGGCAAAGAAATTAGTATTTCATGTGCTCTGTGGAAATAATTAAGTTCTGCATAGCAGCACAAGTTCCTTTTCCAAAGTGTTGTTAAAAGTTAAAATAAAATTTTAAATTGTTTATTCTAGTTTCTGAAAATGGGTATGTAGTGGTTCAGCTGGTGTATAATGCTTTTTCCTTTTCTGCCCGATTTTCGAATATTTTGTATTTTTTAAAATTATTTTTCAGTGCTATAAAATTGTGGAGGAACATGAAGATAGTATTGAGGACTGGTATTGGAATCATCAGGACCAAGACTTAACAATATTTTTATGCAAGAATAAAGTCCTAAAGTCTGATGATCTGGGTAAACTTCTTACGTTGCTGCTTTTAATTATGCAGTATTTAAATATTTAGGTTTCAATTTATTTCAAGGTCATTTACTTATTTCTATACATATTTTATTAATTTGTAAGGCAAAAATAGAATGACAGAAAATTCAATCAAGACATTTAAATTTCTTAAAAATTAGCTTTAAATAGCGATGATATAATCTAATATCAAAAGCTATCCTTATCTACATCATACTAAATTGAATTTAGAGATTGAAAAAGAAGAAAATTGATTAAGCTTTTCTGGAATGTTAAGTCAAATTTCAAACACATGATAAGAGCTTTTAAATGTACCTCTTCTGGTGAAAGATACAGTTGTTTGGAGGGGAAGCTCATTACAGAATGATTTTTTTTTAAAAATAATCTACAAGGCATGTCAAGCTTTAAGTTGCAAGCCATATTGATAAACTTGACAGATACTTTTTTTTTAGAAGAATCAATATAATCTGCTCTAGTGTCACAGAGGAGATATGCATTGCTTTGTGCCTGTTTATTATTTGAGAACCATCGCTTCTTGACATAAACACAATATATGCACTGTTCCAAATAAACTCTCAGCCAAACTACATTATTAGTTTCACATTATAAAGGAATTTCTATATCTGAAATGTGAGAGATCTGCAACATTTTTTTTGTTTTGTGTGTGGTCAGATTTGTTATAGAAAAAGAGTGACATTCATGTAACCCTTTTGCTTTTATTATTTTTATTAGAAATAAAGGTTTTATTGGGCCTTTTTGAAGACATTGTTGGGACTGGGCAGTGTACTGCTGGTCATAGGTGGGGCATCCTTGGAGTAAATGCAGAGATAAAATTCAGAATGAAATTACAATAACTTGAAATTAAATATTTGAATTTTTTTTTTTTTTTAATGGTTCAAAGGCATTTCATTTTTATTTTTACAATGCTGAACTAATGTTGTATTGCCAGCCTGCTTGTCTGAACAATGGACTGGTGAAAAGAAAAGCAAAAAAGGAGATGGTGAAAAAGAGGATGGCTCTAAAGCAAGGAAGAAAAATATTAAAAAAGGTAACAGTCCCCAAATGTTATTGTTATGGCTTAATTGTGCTACCGCTAATGAAAAATCCGCTTTCAAGGGAGGAAATGACTTTTTAATCACAAAATATAGGCATTTACTTAGCATATTTGAATTAATTCCAAATTTTGATCCAGTTCTATACAACATATTATGCAGGTCTACTTCGTACTTAGACACTATCATAAGAATGTTTGACATTATTTATAATGTATGGCTAATAAAAGAGAATAAACTTGAATGATCTGAGAAAGCTCACAAGCAGGCTGCCTGAAGAATGCAGACCTTCCTCATTGCCAATATTTTATATTAATTTATATGTCACTTTATAATGGTTTACATGAAGAAAATTGAAAATCAATGCTAAACTTATTATGCATATGTGGATGGATTATTTAAATGAAGAAAAAACCTGCGAGGTTAATTTCAAATTTGGCCCATGAGGGAAAAATAGCTCTCCCACATTTTGCAAAGTATAGGGGAAAAATGTTAACATATTGAATACACGTTTACAACCAAACTGATGCTGAAGGCAAGTGTTTAGGGGGAAATGAACGGTATGAGAAATAAAGCTGATGATGCTCAGCATTTTGTATGGTAGATTTTATCCCAGATAAAAGTTTGAGTGAAATGTACTGTTTCTAAAATAGATGTCCTTGAACAGAATTAGTTGTGCTGGGAAAAAATTTTCATTGTTGGTTATTAGAAGTCTCTTCTTACTCATAGCTAAACTGAGCAGTAGATGGTTTGTTGAAAGAATATCCAAATTTCATTGAGAACATTAAAAAAAATTTTGTTTCAAAATTTCATACCGGTTTAACACATTGAGGAATGAAACCCTGATTATTTTTTGTCAGCATTTTGTGTTAAATTATTTTATAAATTAGTTTTTTTACCCCCCAAAAGATACAGAATAGTTTAATCAAGTCAACCAAATAATGAATATTTATTTTATACATAGAGCTCTTTGAAAGAAAAAAAAACTGCAATATTTACTTTAGATGTTTTGTTGTTAAAGAATTCCATAACAATATAAATTTTGACTGTAGAAACGTTCTGGTGTAATGTTTAGGCTTAGGGACTTGCCTGTCTAAATTTGGCCATGTTTTGTTTTTTAATTCCAAGTTTTTACTATATTTGTCCTTGTTAAAATAATTAGCCAAGAAATAATTTTACTCCTCAGGTCATGGTAAAATGAAAGGAGATGTCGGAACCAAAGAAAATGAGAAAACTGAGCTTTAAATTAAAGATACTTTTGGTGACTTGGATCAATTTTGAACTACATCATTTATAATTTTATAGCAGTATTATAAAAACCATGTGCAACCACATATATTTTATAACTGTTTTTTTTGTTATATATTGTCAAATATCCACCAAAAAGAATTACAATTGAATGGAATAAGATTGTGTTAACACACCCTTTAATGAGGCAATCCTAAAAAATTGTCAAAAGGCATTACAACAGATGCTTCAATTTTTTAACTACTTAACATTTGATATGCCTATTTGTGCGGAATTAAGGACAAAATTCACTTTTATTTACATTATTAACTTAATCATTTTATCCAAATTTTTTTCAAAATTGCAATTTTAAATCTACAAATGATAATTTATGTTTGCATAAATACATTCTTAAATATATATATATATGTATCTGAATGTGACGACTTCACTCTGAAAGGTTTCTCTATGTGTAACTTATACTATTTCATATATAGAAACATGCTAGCTTTGTTTTCTTTGCTAATAAATTATGTTAACCTAGATGTTATGTTTTAAAATGATATTTTAACCAAAATGGCATTTAAAACTGACATTTTCTATAAACATTTTTTTTCCCAATAGTTTTCTAAGCTTCATGACTAGAGAGAAAAAGCAGTGCATTTTAACCTTTATAAAGTTTAAACTAGTAGACCTGGTATTTCCAACTGTTTGCTTTTGATTAAAGAGCTGTTGGGAAAAATTTAATTGTTACTTTGCCATAAATTTCTGTAAGAAATTGAAACTACACAAACGTAGTGTTTTGTCTTATAAAGTTATATACTTCTAAGGTGTATAATTGTAAATCAAATCCAAATATGTTGGGTCTTTTTTTTTGGGGGGGCGTGTAATACAAAAAATGTACATGTTCTGGGAACTAACTTGTTGCTCAGTATTATTTAAGATAAATTTTGCCTGTAAAACTTAATCATAAGTGAATAAATGTTAATTTGGTTTGAGCATTCAGATTATTATAATTTTTTTTTATAATTCACCAGCAAGCTTTCAAGTTTAATGACAAAATGTGTCAACAAAGGCTGACATTTGTTTTGTTTTTATAATCACTGGACAAAAGAAATGTGTTGGAACTAATCATATGCAGATGCTTGCTATCCATATACTTTCTTATTTATAAGCTGTTATTTAATCTTTGTGGTGAATTCTCCAAATTGTGCTTTTTTATAAATGTAGGCCTTGAAATGTCATCTGTTTCATTTTGGTACTGTGAGACGACCACAATTTTTTTTTTTTTTTAAAATTCCGAGTCAAGATCTCACAAGAATCTAATAACTTTAATAGTGATGTTCAGCAACTGTTAGCACTAAATTTATTTAATTCTGAAACGTTTTTAACCTTAAATGGTTTTAGCATTAGTTATTGAGAAGCACTTTGCTTTATATACTATTAGCTAAAAAAATTAAGGATAAAAAAATTTTGATTAATGAAAACAATTGTTCATTTGCCAAAATTCCAACGAAGGTGACAAAAAAATGTTGGTTCTATTTTCCCATTGTTAAAATATGTATAAAAATCAGGCTAAATGTGCAAGTAATTTCTATGTGTTATTTAGAGGATTAAGCCATTCCATCTTTTCCCATTGGTAGCGGCTGCAGACATTTAATGTATGATATAAGGCATGGCATTTAAATTTAAACATTCAATGTTATTGTATAATTTTGTACATTATTCTTTCAATACTTTGCTCAAACATTTAATAAGATCACAGCAGCTATTCTGGGCTTGTTTACTTTGGAAATTGATCAAAATTAATTTATTGCTTTTAATCTGCTTCTTGCAAACAACTACCGTAATGCTTCCATGCATAAAGATTTCTTAAATTTTGCGTTCATAGCTCAGGAAGTTGTAAATAATAGATAAAATACTAGAAAATCTTTCACCAAAACATGTGAAGCTATTACTGTTATTGCTATGCTAGGAATCATGTCAGCATTCAACATATGTAAATAAGATTAAGTAAATCGTATGCATTGTGTATAATTACTTAAGAAAAATATCAACCAAATGTGTTCATATTTAATAAGTTCTTTTTGAACATTAATGTATTTTTTGAAACAGTTGTCAAGCCAGAAAGGGATACCTGATCCCAAAACTGTTATAGAAAACTCTGATCACATTATCTCCTGTATCTTAGTATTTATTCTCTTTATGGTGAACATGATCATTTTATTCTAGAATTTGATCTCATGAAATATGATTTTTGTTGTTGCTTTGTTTCAAATGTTCTTGTAAATGATGGCATCTATTACTCTCATTCCAGGAGACATTTCTCTAGCTGTTAACTTAATCTGACGCCATCCATGCACTAAATGAAGATGGACAGCTTCTTATGTAAAATGTGAAAGATATTCTTTATATATTGCTTTTTTATATTACGGTATATTAAAGAATTTAAAGTTATTGATATTTGGCTTGTCATATTGTTTTTAACACTCATAATTTAGACACATGTAACATTACAAATCGAATGAACATACCATGTATTTCAGTGAAATGGTTCAATTTAATTCAGTCTAGCTACAATAAGTCTCACTAGTGAAGTCCAGCAAGGTATCACCAAGTGTCATGTAGAACTGATGTTTGAGATATCAGCATCAGTGAGTACAGAGTTGTCCCGATGATTTTGAATAATCAAGATTTTCAAAACAATTTACTGTTCCATCAGTGCTATCATGTCTTTGCCAATGTATCATTGGAAATTTAATTTGAAATTGTCAAAAAAGGTACTTCATTTTCAATAATTCTTCAATTTGTTCAGTTTCTTTAAATCACTTTCAAAGTTCTGAAATTATTTCATGAGAACACTGCACAGGATTGTTCTTTCTTTGAGGTGAGTTTCATCTATCTGGTCTATCAGTATCAGAAAGGCATCTGGAACAATTAACAAAAAAAATCCTTTGTCAGAATTCGCAAAGGAAACTGCTCAAAAATTTTTAAAATGGCTCTGTTAAAGAATCAAGTAAACAATTTTGTAGAAAAATTCCCAATATGTGTGGATAAACTCTAATGATGTACTTCTGAGCTGGCTATTTCATTAGCCTCTTCATTTTGTTCTCCCAACACACCATATTTATCAAAACCATGGTCAAGGTCATGTTGATATAGAGCGGTTGATTCAGAATCCAAACCTACTTTATTGTCTGAAAAAGTGTATACAAATTCATCACCATCTTTAGTCTTCTTCATGTTGTATGTAATTTCAACACCCTCGCTGTTTTGAGATTTGATACACACAGCTTCTGAGTCGACATGCTCACTGTCTTGAGATTTGATAGACACAGCTTCTGGGTCGACGCCCTCATTGTCTTGAGATTTTATACACACAGCTTCTGAATCCGCGACTTCAAAAAGTTTACCACTTTGTTTTCCTATTGCCTTGGATTCATTTGAAAATGAAATAACACATCTCTCACCAATTCCAGGCTCATTCGCATCAAACGCTTCTTCAGCGCCATCTCTATCCAATGCTATTTCAGTGCCCTCTCTGCTTTGAAATTCGAAGCACAGAACGTCCGAGTCGACATTATCAGCCTCCACATTTTGTTTTTCCACCAAGCCAATTACATCCAAATGTTCACCAACGGCCACCATTCCTGGCACATCGAGATTCAAATCCGCCATATCGGCCACATCCTTGCACGTACAATGATCTCCACATTCGTCTTGAGCTGTACTAATCTTAGATTCTGAACAAAGAGCTTCAATGGCATCTTCGTTTTGTTTTCCCAGTGAACCATTTGCATCCGAACCATTAACCGTATCATCGTCGTCCAAGTCACCCAGGTAATCTTGGTATCGGCCATCTCTAAGGCACACTTGCTTGTAGCCTGATTCCGTTTTTTCAAGCCCAAACATTATTCGTTGACCACTGTTGTCATAGTACGACTTGTGTACCTCGATCACAGAATCTCTGAGCGCATAATGTCTATTTAGCAACTCTTGGACTCTTGCAATGTGTACTTCGTTTGACTCACCCCTGAAAGTAAATCCGTCACCAACCTCAAATCTATCACAAATCACGTCATCAGTTTTAGTAGGTTCCTTTGGGTCAAACGCTGCCCACTCAGTGCTGCATTCAAATTCATCACAACTCACGTCATCAGTTGGCTCCTTTGCGTCAAACGCTGTGCATTCTGTGCTGCATTCAAATTCATCCTCTCTAGGCTTCTTAAAATCGTTTGCTCTCTCAACACCATCTTTACCCCGAGACACGTGCACATCACCTTCCTCACCATCTTTACCCTGAGACACCTGCACATCTTCTGCGTCTAAAACTTCAACAAGATCTTGATTTATTTTTCTCACTGCAGCATATTTATTGAAATCATTCACAATTGGGTCGAGATCACATGAAGAGAATGTATCCTCTGAAAAAGTGAACACGACTTCCTCGCCATCTATAGGCGTAGCATCCAAGTGGTATGAAATCTCCACACACTCACTGCTCAGCATTTCGATTAACGCCGCCCCTGAGTCGACAGTTTCAACAGAGTCTTTTTCCTTTTGTTTGTCCATTAGGTCTGTTTTATCTGAACTGCTGTCGTCAATATATATATATATATATATATATATATTTTGGCAGGACACTTTTATATAGACTTTGTAATGGTATCACTACTTTCGGGAGCTTCAAGTTGAACGTCTTTTTTTGCGACTGACTAAATTGCACAGTGACAATGTGCTCTTGTATGTTGGCTGCTCGCGTGATAAGTCAGTTCAGTTTCTCCGTGCTCTGTCATGCTGTGACTGAACTCGTCCAACCATTAACGTCATGAAAACGGGGAGCTGAAAACAATTCACCGCTAACTTTCTTCTTCTTTTTTTTTTTTTTTAAAGAGCTACTCCCGGGGGTGGGGGGACTATGCTCCTGCTTTACATTACCCCCCCCCCCCCCCATTTTTTTCTATTAAAAAATATTTATTAAAAAACCACTAAACTATTTCTTTAAGTTACGATTTTTTAAAATTTACGTGCGGCTGATGGTATGATGAACCAATAGCAATAGAAGCTCATTGTTCGAGAAATATTGGGACACACAGGTTTCTTTCAACGCCAAAATTGTTATCGTTTGTAATCACTTTATTGTAGGCCCAACGCCGGCCTTTAGAGTGTGCGACCTGTTCCCTCCCACAGGGTGCCGTGGCCATAGGGGCGCCCAGTAAATATTAAATTCCCTTAGCCTTAGTTTATTATAGTGAACCTCGGGTCCGGGGTTGAAAAACGGTATTCTAACTTTTCGTACAATCGCTTTTCATACAATGAAAGTTGAATTCTTAATTTGGATACTGACACTGGGGTTGGGAACAAACGAAAGGGGGTGGAAATCAATGTATTAATACCGAAGGGGGCGCCGAACGGGTGCTTCGCCCAGGGCGAAAGTTTACAAAAGGCCGGCGTTTTATAGACTTTCCAGCTGAATTAATAACTACAGACATGAGAATAGACTATAATCAAGGGGGGTTACTCAGAACAACTTACTAAATACAAATGGCGGCCACCACTGGAGAGCGCGAAGTAGAGGAGTTTTTACTGGTTAGTAATTATTCAACTTTAACATTTAGGCCCAACTAGTACCACAACCAGTAATACTAATGAAGGGTAAATGCAAAGAGATCGTGCCATCCTTTTCCCACGTGGCCGAACGGTGGCTACCAAGATAGCGGCCGTGTAAAAATAATAAATTATAAAGGCTCGAAAAATGAATTTAATGAAAAATTGTCCGCCGAGGCCGAGGTAATCCCTTATTTTAGTGCATTTTATTATTTCTACAGAAATAAAATGAAATATTAATTTTTACCTCATGGAACTACATTAAAACACTGGTAATCCCTTATACTTATTTTATTTCTTTTTATTATTTCTACAGTAGTAATAAAAATTAATTTTTACCTCATAGTAGGTACTCCGCCGAAGCAAAGGACACTCCTAGTAAATTTGTATCGGAAATGGGCGTCGGCGCAATAGAATCCGAGTTTTTAATTTTTCATGTGCATGTAATTTGAATAAATTATGAGTCCTTTTGGCCTATAATTAAGGCCTGACTCCGCCCATTAGGAGAAATGCTGAACTACATTCCCATTGACAGTTAATTTTTTCTTTATATCAACGTTATGTAAGGAAAATCGTATGTCAATATAAGGCATCTTCGCATTAAAAAATTAGGTCTAAATATTCAAAGTAGGCCTGCATTATTTGTTGAAGTACATGTGTGCAAAATTTCATTGAGATAGCTCTTGAAACATTTTTAAAATTCTCAACGTTGACCTCATTATGCAAAGGTCGCACAGGCCATTTTGGATTAGTGATCCAGCCCCCTTTTAAATGGCGGAAAACGCTGATACTTAGCTTAGGAAATTTTCATTATAACCTCTATATACATAAAAATATTTGATAACTTGTGTTTCAGAATGCATTTTGAGGACATTTAAACTAGAATTTTTAAATTTGAGCTTTAAAAACCCGGTAGAGTCCATTTTATTAACGATCAGAATTGACCGTGTGCAAAAAGTCATGGGAAACAGCCATTTGCATAATGCTATGCCGTAGTACTACCTCAAGTTTCATTCATAAGAGTTTGCCGTGTGCAAAAACTATTAAAACCATTGATCAGGGAAAGCTTTAGTTAATTAGTCATGTGCCAAAGTTGAAAGTTCAAAATAAGTAGATCCTAAACAACATTTTAGGGGGTGCGTTGCCTTATATAGACTATATAGCATATACCGGTAAAATGGACGCTGAAGATGTGATAAACAGAAAAAATTATTTTAAATTTATTGTTATACATAGTGCATACTTAGATAAACTATAATTTATTTATAATTGTGTAACATTATTAAAATTAATTTTTTTTTAATACAGCATTAGTTCTGAAAATAAAAGTCGCACAAGATTATCATTAAAACGAGAGATATATAGCTCGTGACGCGAACAGCGGGATTGGGTCACAGAATCTCAAGATGCAGTCCATATTAAAAAATGATAAACGAGGTCGTATTTTAAAAATTCATAACTTTAAAATTATGACTACAACAGCTAAAAATATGATTTTGGTGTTATAATTCTTTAAAAAATTAGCTCTATTCAACTATGCCATTGGTTTATATTTACAAAAAGTTTTAACTTTCTAATCAAAGTACCTACTCATGGCTAGCCTACATAAATTAAAACACTTAAGTATTTTTCAGGGGTTTTAAAGTGAAATTTTAATATAAACCATGTATTTACAAAGACTGTCAATCAATGGAGTTGTTTTGGTCCATTTAGCTGATGTGTAGCCAGATTTTTTGCCAGTCTCAGACCATAAGAAGTATTCATACAGTTAAAGGAATGTAAAAATAATAGACAATTATTATGTCAGATTCAGGGGCATCAGCTTAC